ACGGCATAAAATTTTACAATGGTAATCTATTTTATGACTCCAGCACCAATTCTTGTCTGCCCGGCTACACTCGCACTACTTCATCCTCCCATCGTTCCAATGATATAGGACATTTATTGTGACCAGAATTCTCCTCTCTAAGAAATTGGTTACCAGGTTTTTTTTACCAATTTCATGATAATAATTGCGGTAATATTTTTCCATCAAATAGTCGTAACGTACAACCTTGCAAATTTTTTGATCTGGCTTATATTTTAAATTCAAGTCTACAATGATTACAAAGGAAAGTTTACGAATATATCTTAAACTCTACTAAATATCACAGATCACGACAGACATTTCATCCCATAATAAAAAGTTGGAAAATACCTTTTAAAAAACGTTTAGTGAATTGATTAAAAAAATGTTTTCGTAATTACATATTTGATTAAAAATGCTTGTTTTAGTACGAATTTTGATAATTACACACCTGTTACTTTATCCCGCAATTTGTACTAACATATTTTTTAGGGTTGCACGATTGTATAAAGTAGAACCGAAAAAGCCATCAACTTTGCGGGAAGGGATGCGCTGTATAAAATCGTCCCCATTCCCCGCTCTTATTGCCTTCATCATTTTTTTGCACGGTTCTAATAGGAAAGCAACGCGACGTTTTGATTTGCGAGAGTGATATGCAATTTAAGAGCTGCTTTCTCCACGTGTCCAACCACACGCTTGAGCTCAACCTGGGTCGGAATGAGGATGAGCTACTAGTTTTTTTAGGATTTTCAAAATTTTGAAAAAACTCTCTTACAAATTATTTTCTGGATTTAGAGTTTTGAAATCGCATATGTCACAATTAAGTGCCGATTACTGAATTTTATAAAATTCTAATGTCTAAATGGAACCAAAAAGATCATCAACCAAGTCTTCAGAACGAGGTACCAAGAAATATTTCGGATTTTCTATGATTCACATACAATGATAATTTTGCAATCCGATTATTTACCCTGGAATAAAATTTGTTAGAAAGTTTACCATTTTTCTTTACTTCACTTAGCTTTAGATAACGGGATTGGCGAAACCGGACAGTCGGATAAAAGTCGTTTTTTTTTCGCGATAAAATTGCATAACATTCATATAAAAGTAGGGACACGACACGAATTTATGTTACTGGCACGATCCACTTCTTTATTTTTTCCATTTTACATAACAATCCCCTCGAAAACAAGAAATTCAGACATGGCGTGTGACAAAGGGGGAATTGTTCCCAGTGGAAAAATAGGACAACGATCAAAATTCACTTGTTTTCCCCATTTAATTCAATTTAATTCTGCCCCGGGAATAAAACAAAGTGACAAAAATAACAAGTTTATTCCTTACGAATGTTGCAAACTTAAAGGCAAGGTTTGTAAGTTTTGCAAACCCGCTTGAAAATGTGGCAAAATTATTATATGGATGTTGTGATAAAATATCGTAGAATTTACCAAAAGCTTATTTCTGGTAAGATGTAAACAACCCGTTTGGTAGAAATGTGAAGGCAAAACTGGTTCCCATTACCACGAGGAACGAAATTGCAAAAAAATTAGTTAACGTTGGTAACAATTTCCGATTGCTGGTAATAAACACGACCGATTGGTTCTAAGATACAGGTAGTAAAACCTTGGCCATCAGGAATATATCCTTAAAAAACTTTCAAATAAATTTTGATCATTTTACCCTAAAAATTACTAAGCCGGTAATACCATTGGTAAAAATGTATTTTCAATCTGGTCTATCATCGAGTGCGGACTAATTTTTTTTAGAATTCAATATGCTTCGAGTGGTGCGTCGTTGAAGTCGGGAAGAATAGTTTGGCCCAGTTTCGACGATATTTTCCTACGTGCGTCTCTTACTTTACGATGTCACAATAAGGGTACAATTTGTACCGTACAAATAGCGTAAACTTGTTGACTTAACTTTCTCACGACAAACAAAGATGGAGTTGAATTAGGTGGGTGAAATTTGAGTTTTTTTGTGAAAATTTTTCAAACTTTGTTTTGGCATAATAGATTTTTGTTGACAGAAATTTATGCGAAAATTTTCAACTTTACTCGAAAAACTATTTTTTGTGAAAATTATTCTTCAAAGATGCCAAATCTTTTTTGCTTTCATATACTTAAATCAGGAAATTTTTCTTAAATGGCGTAAAGGCTTGTCATTTTAAAATTACTTGCACATTGATCATAAAATTAATTTGTTTTCTTTAAAAAAAAATCGAAAAAGTTATGAGAACGCAAGAAATATCCTATGGTGTAGAGGCAATGTTTGTCTGTACTGGGCTAGTAAACGCATGAGGTGAAAGCTGTTAAAAGAACATTGAAAATTTTATTACCACGAGCGGTGACAAAAAGATATTATCGCACGGGAAGAGTCACATATCATTACCAGAGCTCACTGGACTCTTTCCGAATCATATTTCAAGTTAATACAACTTAAATAATAATTTAAATCAAGTTTGGCCTAGTAACCTACAAGTTCTTTTGTGTAATTTCATGTGCTGTGATAGCGTTTGTCACCACGTGGTAGTAAACTTGTCATCGTCCAGTTATGACTTGTATCACCTTTCTGTAGCAAATAACTATACTATGTCTTACACATCAAGTCACATTACTTTAATGTGCCAAATTAATTTTAGTCACATTTTTTTAGCAATGTAGTCAAAATTTGCACACTAATTTCTTCTAATTTTTTTAGTAAAATAGGTAAAAAATACTTTAATATTCAATGAACAATTTTGACTTTGGAGTAAAACAATTATGGCATTTATTAAACAAATATGTTATTTTAGTATTAATAATTCTTAGTATAAGTATTTATGAATAATTAATTAAGATTTGGTTAAAATCTATTAAAATTTTAAATTGTGTGCAATTATTGTATGCAGTAGTTGCAACGCCAAAATTGTTAAAAATGGAGATAATTTGTTTGCATATCGTGGGAACCGTAAATTTAACTTTGGTGCAATGTAATTATGCCATTTATAAAAAATATATTATTTTAGTATTATTAGTTAGATAAATAGATTTGTATCTAGTGGTAAGGCGATTCTTTTTCGAAAAAAAAATACTTAGCAAACAGAAAGGAATTAACCTCTCAAATTAGTTTTGAGATGAATAGACACGAAAAAGTAATAATCACCTGCGCAAATTTACAAAGCTTGCAAGGAAATTTTTCCTGATAAGGTGAACCTTATCATGTTACGAATTTTACGATGAATACAATTTACAAGGGCTGAGAGAATTGCTTAATTTTCATCTTACGGGTAAGAAGTTATGTTAATATGGGCAAGAATCTGACTACCGTACGAATCTATGTATGGTCGAATATGTTAAATCCTAGCAAATCTCGCAAATCTACTAAAAACACCTATTTCGATATTGTTTCCACTGATTTCTGTATCTTTTCTTGGTGAAGATGAGTTTTCGAAATAATTTTACGAAATAAGAACATGCTAAATTGCTGGATAAATTTGCGAAAAAATCACATAGTTGTCTAGCAAAATTTTTGGGAAATCTCGCAAATTTTGCAAAACTGTTGAGCAAGTGGTGTTGCGAAATTGTTCAATATTAAATTTGCGAAGGTTAACGTGAGTTTGCTCAATGTTTCGGTTAATGCTTAGGGAATTTCTGCCCAAAATTCTGAAAATTTGTTTGCATGGCATGAGAACTGTAAAACTAAAGTCACTGCAAAGCAAGTTTGGTGACATTTTTATGCCAGACGGCTTTCCTTCGAACGTGAGGTTTTAGTTACGCCAGGGACTCGAGGAGCCGACCCCAGCGTGTTATTTAACGAGGCAGCCAGATATGTGACAATTTTACAGAACGGATTGATTTGATTATATTGAGCGAACGATGAACCGAGTTTGACTCAAAATTGAATTTGATGTGGAGAAGAATGAATAAAATGTGAACTTTCTCCACGTTTCTTGGAGGGGTGACATTTCTAATAATTTTGGTGACTGACTGAGGCACTAATTTGGACAGGATTTCTGATTCTGGGCTCACTTTCACTTTTTTTTTGCTCTTACGATTTCATGATTTTTTCATTCCTGTACAAATTTTGTTTAGGTGGGAGAAAGTGAAAGTGTTATTTTCGGATTTTTTTAGAAATTTGGGGATTTATTAGTTTAGCATAATTCACGTGAAATTTGTGATTAGTAGAAATATACAATAAGTATAAATATCCCTATTATCCAATATCACGTAATTCCTTTCCTGTACATATGAAATTTAGATGGGAGAAAGTTATATTTTGAACATTTTTTTTTACAAATCTGAAGATTTACTAGTGCATGTAATCGGCAAGAAATGTTGGATTTGGTAGAAATATATATAATAGAAATATAAAAATCTTTTCATCTCAGAAACCCAACTTTCACCACTGGCCTCAACTTTGAGCAATTTCATAATTTCTTATTACTGCACTTTCAGCAATTTTTTCCCTCAAGAAAGACGTGATTTGGTGGCATGATTGAGTATGATGTAATCCGAAAATGGGGGTTCTACGGGAAGAATGCCATTTTTTTACCTAATATTTTGATATGTGTAACATTAGCGTGAGATTGTGCTAGGGTAATCTGGTTTAACATACACATTTTTTTTAATTGATCCGCCTCGCGACTCCATGAAACCTTCGGTAATAAAATTGTAACCAAGTACTATTCAAAAATTAATTCACCTAAGTAAACTATTTAATTTCTACTAAAATCTTTTTTTTGCATCCGGCGTTAATATCTTACATCAAAATTAAAATTTTGGAATTGTGGTTTCTATGTACATAAAATTAATATAGTTCGGAAACGAAATTTTTCTAGTGGTACTTTGCCTATATATATAACTTAAGCCAAAATTTTTCGTAAACCGTGACGTCCTTTAAGCACGACCCCTCGGAATGATGCAAGTCTTACACTTTGAGCAAATGAGGGGAATCTGGCTCTGATTGAAAGTTCAAACATGTGAAATGAATGATATTCTTCTTACCTGAAGCCCTGCGAGATGGGGATGAAAGGGCTGCAGCGTTTTGATCGAGTTGTGCGAGAGGTTGAGTGACTTCAGTGTAACTAATCCAATGAAGGAGTCGTGCTTTAAATCCTCAATCGCGTTCTCACTCAGGTCCAGCAAGTTCAGATTTTGCAGCGATGAAAACCCCGCCGGCGGGAGGAGGGTGAGTGGATTCCGCTTAATCACGAGGCGGTGAAGGCGCGGGTAAATTTTAAATTCCTCACTCGTCAAAAAACTCACGTTCGTTTCGCACAAGTATAAATCCATAACGGAGAAGTTGCGGGAGGGATGATTTTCCGTGTAAAAGTTGATCAGTGGATTTCCGCTCATGTTTAAGACGAAGGCGGACGTTACGAACCGTTCGGAAAATGCGAAGGGGACTTTTTGGAGGGAGTTGCCCCCAAAGTTTATCTGGGTGAGGGAAACGTTACGGACGAGATCGTCGGAAACGCGGGAGATGTTGTTTTCACCAAAGTCGACGACCTGTTGGAGAGGGAAAGGATGCGTTACTGACTTTGTTTTATGTAATTGCATTATTCATAAAGTTATCTAAATTACATAAGTTGGTAACAAATTTATAACTGCGGTGATCCCCAAAGTTTTTAAAGTGTTATACATTAGGCATATGATTTCCGCAAAAATCTACTTTTCCAAAAATTTCTAAACTTTTTGAGGTCATCTATAAATCATTGTCACCGTTGTGGATGCAGCGAATCTGACATTATTTTCGTGAAACAAACAGTAATTATTATTTTAGTGGCGTGAATACTTAGCAAAGTGAAAAACTTAAATCCGAAAATTTATAAAATCAACATAAAATGTACATACCTCTAAATATATGATAACAAAATAATATTGCCAATTTCATTAATTTTGGATTTTCGTGTAAAGTTTGTACAAACTTCACAAACTTACGATTCATTCAAACAGCGCCGTAGCGACACTGGAGAGAGGTGGAGAGACACTCTCCAGGCCGTACAGCCCAAGGGGCCGTACCGTCAAGGTCAGCAATAAAATACACTAGGTAAAATCAGGGTCAGCAATAAATCAGCAATAAAATAAGGGATTCAGTAATTTTTGGAGAGCATAGTGAGGCCGTACCACGGCCAAACTCTCCAGGCCGGACAACACGTCGCTACGGGCCTGCATTCAAATTGCACCAGTTGTGTTTAATTGTAAAAAAAATCAAAATTTTATAACTCAAACCAAACAATATTATTCAGTCTCACCTGCAACAAGGGCGTCGACTTGGTCATGCTTCCCCCCATAATTTTCGTCAATCTGTTGTCATTCATATCCAACTGTTTAATCCTCGGGAGCATGATTCTGTTCAGATCCAGCGTGTTGATCCGATTCCCCGACAAGGTCAAGACCTCCAAAAGCGTCGAATTTCCCAACGCCTTGTATGGAAACGCTCTCAGCCTATTATGCCTCAAATGGAGCTCCCTCAACGGAGAAACCCCTGCCCCCGCCTGACCTCCACCGATCCCCGCCGGAATAAAAACCGAATCGGGTATGTGACTAATGAAGTTATCACTCAGTCTTATCACCGCCAAGTTAAGGTTCAATTTAAAGACATTCCCGGGCAACGAGGTGATATGGGATTTTTCCGCCGAGAAGAAATTCAACGAGGGAAATCCGTCCAACATATTTTCGTCCATGTCGGTCAAATTATTTCCGGAAATTTGCAGCACCTCGAGCCTTCCCAGGTTCAATTGGCGGACGACCGAGCCGGTCAGGTCGTTCTGTTGCAGGTCCAATTCTTTCAGGGCGATTGGAGGTGATTGAAATCGGGGCGAGGTGAGACTACCAGTTTCCCCGCTTGATAGCGAAGAAGAGGACGATGTGGCGGGAATTCCGATTAGAAGCTCGGACAACGTGTTACAGCAAATTTTCAAAATTTCCAACCCCGCAGGATGAAAGGTGGACGCGTAGTGGAGCGATTGTATCCTGTTTGTGGAGAGGTCGAGGATTCTGAGGGAGCGGAGATTGGAGAAGGAGCCGTCTTCCAGCGTGCTGATATCGTTATGGGATAAATTTATCTCTTCAATAAATGCCAAACCCGAGAAAATTGCGCGGTTAATGGTCTTGAGCTGGTTGAAGGACAAATCAAGGTATTGAAGGGCTTTGGTCTGCGAGGAGAAAGCGTCGCCGTGAATCCACGAAATGTTGTTCCTCTGGAGGTACAGCCGCTCGAGGGAGCGAAGCCCGGAAAATGCTGGGGAGAAAGCAAGATCATGATTTTAGAAATTATGTAATCGTGTAATGTGTAAGGGGAAGCGGAAAGAATGGAGACACTCTAAATGATAGGGCGAGAGAGGAAATTTGGTTTGATTTTTGAGGTAAAAGTAAGTAGAAAGCACTTCCAGCGCATTTTTGTAACCTAGTAAATTTAGTTATTTGCTGACTGTAAATTAACTTTTATGTAACTCAAGTTCAATAGATTACGAAGGAAAATAAGCTTATAAAACTATTCCAAAATTTATCAGCCCACTGTAATAGTTTATTACTAAATTACAAAGATTTGCGTGAGAAATTTTTTCTCAGAAAATAAAATATGTTGCAGTATTGCGGGACAAATGGCTAACATCTTAAGGCTAGCTACTTATAGATTGAAATTTCCTTGAATTTTTGATCTTATCTAATAACTTGGACGTAGTGATTTTTGGAAAGACAAATTTAATTTTATGCGAATTTTCTGCAAGATTATGATTTGAATTAGTTACTTATTTTGTAAATTATCACGCCATTCGTAAATTATGAAACATAACATATCCTTTTAAACATTGCAGATTTGAATCGCTTTTTGCAGAAAGAGGACGTGATTTTGTACGAAAAAAAATTGCAAAGGACAACGTCGTTACTAAAATACGATACATTTTACATTAAGGTTATCGTGGTAGATTTGGTGTAATTTTGCCAAGAAAATGACAAGATTTTGTATGAGCAAAATTTCAAGTATGGAAAATTGCGAATTTTTTAGATGTTTTTAGTGAAAGCCTTATGAACAAGCCTTACGTGAACAAGCCTTATTCAACATTTGTCTCTCCTTCACAGTCTGTCCATCCGCTCCCTTTCATCAAAACCAAATAGTTCTGGTTTGTTACCAAGTTACAAAGAATTGAAATTTACAAAATTAACGAAGTTTACAAAGAGTTGAGTTACGAAGATTCTCAGAGAAAGGAAAACAAATATAAAGCGTTATTTATGACGTTAATGCTAACAAGAGGGCTGACCACTTACAGGTTACATTCGACGTGATTTTTGGAGAAAGGTTAAAATGATCTTATTCAATAAATAAGTTTGGATTAAGTGTTTTTTGGGGAGATGAAGCTAATTTTATGCAAAGGTTATGATTTTAGGTACGAATATTCGTCAAAGTATCAAATCTAAATTTTAATCGTTTCAATTAAATTTTCAATTTAGTAAAATAGGCGTTTAAACTTTACCCTAATTATTTATTTAGTTTTGCAAACAACAACGCTCTTTGTAAAATACAAAACATTTTACATCTAGTTTATCATTGTACATAGATCTGACAGTTTTTTTAAAGAACAAGGACAAAATTTTGGACTGAAAAATTTTAAGTCTAGGAAATTGTGACTTTTTAAAATATATTTTTAGTGAAAGCTACATGAAAAAGGTTTATGCAACCTTTGTCTCTTCTTCACAGTCTGGCAACCTTTCCATCTGCTCCCTTTACCTCCCCGTCCCATTAAAACCAAATAGAATTGTCCTCTCCCAAATTACATCATCCAAAAAAATCCAAAAAAAGAGAAAGACCATTTTCCCTCAAAAAAGAGAAAGCTTTGCATGCATCTCGACCCATAATCTGATTAATTTCATCCTTTTCCTTACCTCTCTGACCCAGCCGAGTGAGACGATTATTCCCCAAATAGAGCAGCGACAATGTCGTCTGATTAGCAAACGCGCCATCCGAAATCCCCTTAATATTATTATGCCCCAGACTCAACGAGCTCAACTCCGTTCCCGGTAACATGTCGGCGGTAACTTTTTCAAACGAGTTTCTTGACAGGGTCACGTGCCTAATCCGCCTCAAATTATCCAACCCTTTGATCCCATTCAGCCGATTATTTTCGAGGTGAACCTCCTCCAAGGTTTCCAAACCTTCCAAAACACCGGCGGGAATGGTGGTAATTTCGTTATTCTGTAGTCTCAGTTCCCTCAACCCGCGGCAAGTTTGAAACGTCCCGGGAACAACTTTACCCAACAAATTCCCATCCAAACTGACCGAAGTGAGATGTTCGTTACGCAGGAAGACGTCTTGTGGTAAAATGCGGAGAAAGTTGTCACTTAGCCGGACTTCCGTTAAATTTTTGAGCGGGAAAAATATCCCCGATTCGAGATATTTTACCGCGTTTCCTTGCAAGTAGAGGATAGAGATTTGGGGCGACCCGAGAAAAGTGGGGGACGTTAATTGAATTATGTTATTCCCGTTGAGGAACAATTCTCGAAGTTCGAACAGGTTTTGGAACAATCCTTCGCCGATTGAGTGAAGGTGATTATTCGATAAATCGATGGACACGAGTTTCACGTTTTCTTGAAAAGTGGGGGACGGCAGGAGGGACAATTTGTTGTGAGAGAGGTCGATAGATTCGAGTTCGACGAGCGGGAAGAATGTGGCGGGATCTATCACTTCGATAGAATTGAGGTGTATCGAAACCGTGCGAAGGTTCCGCATCGAGTTGAACGTCCCGCGATGCAGGGAGCGGAGGTAGTTTGAATTGAGGTTGAGATATTTGAGGAGGGGCCAGTCCATGGAAGTGGTGGTCGGATGGTGGGGCGCGTTGTTTGCGGGGAGCAGGTTGTTGGGCGGGGTTCCTGCTTTGAGGGAATTTCGAATTACGTCGAACGCGCCGGATTTTTTTGAGCGGGAAGGTTCGGCGGGAGGAGGTGGGGGAAGTGTCGGCGGGAGAAGGGCGGCCAGGTCGGTGAGCTCGTTCCAGGCGAGGGAGAGGGACGAGAGAAGGTGGAGGCGACGAAGGGCGGGAAACGGAACGGTTTTCAATTTGTTTTCAGACATGTCGACGTCCATGAGGGTTTCCTCGAGGCCCCAGAAGGCGTGTTCGGACACGTTCTCGAGCAGGTTGCCTTTCAGGTTGAGCTGAAATTTAGGAATTTGATAGGTTTCATTAGGATTTATTAATAAAATTTAATAAAGGATTCAAGTGTTTAAAAATTGTAGATTAAAAAAATATATTTTATTAAGTTATAAGTTTCGTTTTACTTTTTCAAATTTTTAGGTAAGATCGTAACTTTAGTTTATCGCAGTTCATAAAATTACAAAAGTTAGTTTGGAGGACTGCCAGAAATAAATAATTTTGTGAAAAAAATAAATAAATCATTTTTTCATTTATGAAGATTCGGTAATGATGAATTAACTTTAGATTTGATGGGGGAAAACCTAAATTTAAAAAAAAAAAGATATCCGCATATTCTTAAAATCGAGAGTGAAAGTTAAAAACTATAAATTTTAGGATGAAATAAAAACAAGGAAAATTCTGAATCATTGCATTCAAGAAAATACTTTCTCCACGCCGTCAAATAACTAACTGCGTCAGTGGGAAAAAAATTCGAATTCTCAGAATTCTTATCGTTTAAACAAAGCTGGGAAAGTATTCGCATTTGGTTTGGACACATAATGACCCAAATCTACAGATTTATTCCTTAATCTTCCTCCAAATGATGCGATACTTTTGATAACGCGAAATGAACATTGGAACGGAAATGAGGTTTATGTCTGATAAGGACGTCAATTCGGATTAATGTAGGAGAAAGAAAGAACATATTTTTTGGGTGGAAGAAATGCGCAAAATTTTGTGCAAAATGTAATGTCTAAAGCACACTTAAAAATTTAGTAAAAATTATCACCGGATGTGAACTACATGAAATTCTGCTAAGTTAGTAGGGACTGGGACTTGTAAAGGGACGAAAAAAATATACATATCTATTTTTTGCTGCTATTAAAAATTATTACATGTAACAATTTTTTAATAGCAGCAAAAATTTGTAAAAAATTGGTACAAATCTTATTACCAACAATTTTCACTTTTAAAGTAACAACCTTTAATTAGTAACAAAATTTACCAGATTCATTAGAAAATTATGAAAATACTGAAAAAAGTCATTACTAAATTGGCAAAATTTTACAAAAGTATTAAACGCTTTACCTTCTGTAGTAGAATATTGTGGAAGCTGTAAGGTCCCAATTCCTGGACTTGGTTGCCTTCAAAGTCGAGAATTTTCAATCGTCGCAACGTCGACAGCGTGGTTTGCGGTATGAATTTTAGCCGACTGGAAACAATGGCCAGAGACTCCAAACTTTTCGACAGGCCGCGCAAACTGTTTTCCGCCAAGTCCTCCAGTGAGGAGTGCGATATCTGCAATTCGCAAAAGTAAAAAGTAATTAATTATTTGTACACAAGGAGGAATTTGTGCGATGAATAGGGCGATTAATGAGAAATGAAACGTCAATCAAGAATCGAATGCGTGGATTGGGTACACTGTAACAAATGTTGTAGTAAAATTAACTTCGGAATGACGAATATGCCAAAAAGTAACAATAATTGCCTATCAAATTCAAATTTCTGGCCACGAAATGAGAAAAGTAGTTTATATGTATATGAAAGCAATTTCTGTAACCCAGTAAACTCCGTAAATTTTGTAAACTTACAAATTGTAATAATTGTGATATTTTCAAGCCATTGTTTATCTTGAAAATTAACTATTTATTTATGTACTTGATATACAGATCAACTCTCCATGTGTGCAGCACATGTTGTGTTTAAAAGTTTATGTTGGGTTCATCTTACTCTGGTTTGAAATCTTTAATGTCATAAAATTATTCAAAATTTCGAAATCTGTGCAAGATGTTGCAAACATATTTACTGTATACAATGCCAACCGTTACTTGTTTAACGAATGCTTATAAAAAATATTCTTGCATGGTTTGCACAGTTTACAAACACGGTACTGAATCTTGCTTCATTTTGTTTCTATTTATTTACAGCTAGACTTTTCGAGTATGAAAGTTGTAATTTTATTAAAATTCAAACCCAGAAAATCAATTGGTTTTCGAATCATGTTCTTTAAAGCAGTGTTTCCAACATTTAAATTGATTCATGTGTGCAAAATTAAGCTAAACGTGAGAACTGTGGCATGAATTTGATCCAGCTTTTATAGAATTATATTCAAGTTTGGACCGAAAAGTCAAGTCAAGCCAATCCAGAAACAAGAGGCGAACTGTATTTATTGGGCTGACCGAAATCTGATCGAAGCCAGGAAGTCGGAGGTGAATGACAGGAAACAACATTAAAGTAAAATAATGGAGGAAACAAATGTACCCCGAGATTTACTACCAAGCGGAAAAAACTTTCCCTTTTTGAAACACACGAAATAATACGCTAAGAAAACAAACGCTGATCCTACGCGTGTCGTAAATGTTTGTAAAATATTTTGTTTTGCAAAATCCTTTTTTGTTTATTGACGTCTATAAAATTCGTACCTCACAAGTAAAACATGACGTTTATAAATAATTAGATAAATGTACTTCAAAATATTTCGCATGATGCAAATCAGATTGAAATCCATGCTGGATGAGACTGATGGCGTGTTTTTATTTTTTTAAATGCAATTTAAATTGCACCATTTTATATAACTTGCGCAGCTTACAAATATGCGAGCAAATCTCATCTTGCAAAATTGTTGAACTTTGCAACATCATAATTTCCATAGCGTTGTTTAAATTAAATGCATCATGTTATGTCAAAATTAGTTTGAATCGTAGAAATTCAAAGTATGACGTCAATATGAAATTGCCATCAAAATGTAAATATTGACCGGAATATAAGGTCGCATGTGCGTGAATAAAAGTTTAAATTTTATAACAAGAAAATATGCCATTTTTTATTTGTAAAAATATCAACCCAGAAGACTTGTATTAAAATTTGTAACATTTGGGGGCGTAACTAAAATTACTTAAAAAATGAAAATGCACTTTGATCCCTACACCAAATCTTACATTTTACAAAATTGTTAAACTTTGTAACATTAGGATTTACTAGAAACGTTGTTTGAATTAAATGCATCAGATTATTCAATTTCATGTCAAAATTAGTTTGAATTATGGAAATTCGTGGTTTGACGTAAATAAGAAATTTTCACCAAAACCTAAATTTTGACCACTAAACCAGGTGCTCATATTCCTTAGTAATAAAATTTAAATTTTTTTTCAACAATATCGAATTTTCTAACTTGAAAATCAACCCAGAAAACGTTAGTTGTGTTAAAATGAATAAATACAACATTTTTTATTCATGAAATTACTGAAAACTGAAAATGTACTGTAATCCCAACACAATTTTAACACAACTGAAGATTTCTGGGTTGATTTACAAATCGGAAAATTGTATATTCTCCGTCCCATGACTCCATCACATTTTCACTTTTAAGCACCTGATGCTAATTTTAATATGTACAAAATATTTCACATTTTTTGCCATCACATCACCTGCAGAATCAATTTATTGATTTTTTTCAGCATGAAAGTCTATTGCTTTCACTTGCGTAATTCACCGTGTGGGAGAAGAGATAATGATAAATCGAGTTCCATCACATCTCACACACGTGTTCGGCCTAAACCTGTTCATCTTAAGAAAGAAAGCTCAAATTCTCTCCTGGATATGTCACATGCTGCTCATCTTTTGTTGTCGGTGGTGGTGGATCGGATAATAATTTTCCGTAACGAAAAGTACAAAAGGTGCACTCACGTCAAAATTTTGTTTTATTTGATTTCTGATTGAGAGACATTGAGAAAATTTACGTCTTGAAACTTATAAGTGCTTCAATCATTTTGCTACCTATGATTACCATTGAAAATCAGGCCACACATCTTTTATTAAGTCAAAGATATCCGAAGATATTATCTATTTATTTGTTTGTAATATAATTTCCATATTGCACTCATTCGCGAAAAGGATGGCGAATTGTGGACAAATATTGCGAAACAATGTTTTGTGGATCATTTCAATAAATAAAAAACCTACGAACACAACTAACATCATAACATTGATTTGTTCTTCTAACGGCGTGAATAGCTCGCAATTTGTAAAATTTCTAGAAATCCTGTGGCAAAAAAAGTTTCAATTTGCAAGATGCAATACTTTTTCATGTACAGAAATATTTTGCGAGGTTTATTGACGTGACTCTGCCCAAAGTAGAATTCCGGATCTGAGGAGAGTAAGCGGATGATGGAGGAAATAATAATTGGAGTCTGGTCTGATCCACGAGAGAGAAAGTGGATGGACAAAGAATGCATTAGTGCGGAGCTTATTGTCACCTCTGACAACATTTCGGAGACAACATGACAGAAATCGAGGATTTTTTAGTGCGATAAAAGACGACAGCTTTCCCAGGAAAAAAAGGGTCGTGCAGGAGGACGTGTTCCTCTTTTCTGGGGCTTCGCAGCTATTGGCACACAAATTTGATGCGACAAAAGTGGAGTTCCTGCACTTAAAACTATTGCAGCTAATGAAAAAGACAAACAAGACCTAGCTCATAATCTTGAATAACTATTGCAAAATTCGAAATTTTTATGGCAAAAAAATATTAAAAATTCCAAAAATTATAAACAATTTTAAAATGACAAGATTTTGATCAAAGTTTAGATCGCTTAAAAAGGATTACAACTTGATGTGCTTGCCTCCTAACGTGGGGAAGTTGCATGGATAATATCACTAAAAGTGCGACCCTAAAGAGACTGCATCCTTTATGCACATCCCCCCAAATTAAGCGAGGACCTGGATTGCATCAACTTGCTTCGCGTACATCAATATTTTCGTCTCTGTTTCACTTCGATCTGAACATATGGCAGGAGTCGTGTCGTGTCACACGGGGAAAAAATTCCCTAGTTCTTAGGGACAAGATATTAATATATATTTGGACAGTTGGGATGGGTGACAATGTCACTGACAAATATGCCACGTGAAGAGGACAGATAAACCACCAAGGGAGACGCAAGTACTTAACGTTAACCTTAATTGCTGGATTTAATTGAACTTTAATATTTATTGTTGGTTATTCACGCCATAAAATAATTCTAACAAATTATCTGATGAAACTTAATAATACTAGATGAGAATATCGTCTACTTCGAAATTATCATGCGATAAATTATGAAGTGAAATATTTGCCGAAAAAAAAAGAAATTTAAATGGTTTCTCTGTGAATAAAAATTAAAGCTAGGTATTCACGTCATAAAACAATTTAACAAATATGATCCAATTAATTATGAGACTAGATAAATTAATTTTCAACTACATACAATTCACATTTTGAGATGCATTATGAATTGCAAGAATTTTGCCGAAAAAAATTAGCATTCTGGTTTCTCTGTGGATAAATTTTGAAATTCTGAAATTGTTGAGAGTTAAGTAATTTCGAAGAATAAAGTGCAGAAATGCATAGAGATCTATAGCCTACCATAGTTCCAGTTACATTTTGTATGCTTCACATTCAAAATAGTCAGAAATAATAAGTATGTCATGTGACATCGAGCGGTATAAAGTTTAAAGTCTTTATAAAATCGTGGAAAAGTGAAATTCATAAGACAATAAGTTACAAGCTGTTTTTTTGAAATATTTTCTACAAGATCTATCGCTTAAAATTGGTGCGACTATAATTTATCGGACTTATTCGGACAAATAATCCATCTCAAGGCGACGTTGACGTGAATAAAAATTTTCTAAGTTATCTAACTGATCTTGAAAAAATAACTTTTCGTTACAAAAATATTATTCACGGTTTTGATTATGGCCATTTAATTTCTTACCAAAACATTAAGTTCGTGAAAAAAGATTTTCGAATAATGATTTCCTGGGGAATTGCTTACCTGCAAATGATACACCGGCGACGTGACATTGTCCGTAACTCCATCGGGCAAAATAGCCGCGCGGGAATCCAAATCGTACACACTGTACGATTTCACCGGGCCGTTTAAAACTTGGAGGGATTTTTTCAGAGCGGGAATGTCACTCCCGCTGCACTGAATGTGCAACTGGTCATCGAGCACGAAACAGGAGCAAAACGGGATTTCTTGATATGCCGGACACACAATTTCCCCATGAATCGTGGTTACGAACAGGAGGGCGACGAAGGCGAAAACGCCGCAAAATTTCGCCATTTTGACGAAAAGTAATATTTTTAACGCTGTTATTCACTCAAGTAAAAAATATGCAATGGTAAATTGTTCTCTTTAAAAGGACTGACTTCGTAATCATCATCATTTTATGAGGTTTTAATATTTGCACGACTTAAACTGAATTTGGCGAAGAAATTTAAACACTCTCGGCATTATACGAATCTAAACTGTTCGTAACGAATTTTTTGCATGATAATTGTCCGCGAAGTTAAATTTATTCATCAGAAAATGATTTTAGCACAATATTTTCCTCCCTGAAACGACCATTGTATTCTTGATTTCTATTTGAATTCAAATCCACTCCGACATCACAACACATCACATTTCGTTTTATCCTTTGAATCCGGTCGAGTCTGTAACGGGAGAGATTTCGTATTTGGGAAGCTTGTGGTTTTGTCGCGATTAAAATTTCACTCTGATTTATTTATTGATGCAAATACGTCGTCTCCTCCTCTCATGGATTAAAATGAGAACGAGAAGTTGCTGCTGCAGCCATTGTTTGTTTGATCCTTGCATTCATTTCGCGTAGCAAAGTTTCATTTGGCTTTGAGGCACAATTTCACTGGAGCAACGTCGAGATGAGATTTTCTTCAAAGTAAATTCGATAATTTGCGTATGTGAGGAATAAATGGGGAGAGATGATGATTTTTTAAGGGGAAATCGCTTTCACTTTGGCTTTCACTTTGAAATGTGATTTGGTTTGGGAAGATTCAGTTTTAGGTTTTGGAGTCCAATTTCCAGATTTTCTGTAAAAAAAAATAAAATGAGTATGGACAAATCGTAGTCTTGTAAATTTTTTAAAATTTTAAAATTTTAAAATTCTTGAAAAGTTCACGGTAAATAATCTGGAAAAAATCGTCACCGTGATAGCTTTTTTATGGGTCGGTAACAATAATTATGCAAGAAATTCAGGTTTTCTCAAATTAATTTCCGCGGAAAAGTTCTGCATACTTCGCGGAAAATTATTCCGCAAAAAATCGATACTATCACTACTTTCATGCACTAATTTATTGCCACTTTTGCCCTTATCGCAGAAAATAAATATGACACGGCTCATATTTTGCATTTTTGTATCTCGCGAAATTTATTTACGCCAGAGGAGAGGAAACCCAGTCCCGCAGAAAATCTGGGGTATTATTTTTTCCTTTGTGTAGTGTTATCGTCGCGTCCCATCATTTTGATATGGGGAGAAAAGAAGAGATTCATATTGTGACTACGACGCCACTTATTTCGCATCAAGATGAACTTTTAGCACGCAACTTTCTCTTCTGGGGGACGTGCGTGAATGATGCGATAGTTTTTTAGGTGGGAATTATGTCGCCAATTTCGCCATGTAAAATTAATAAAGGTTTACTTGACTTGACTTAAAATAAAATAAATATTCGATTTCTTAATTGTGTCATTTCGACCTAATAGAAAATCATTTCTCCATCTGTAGTTGTTACTACAAATCAAAACTTCGAAAATTTCTAATTTTTGGAATTTTAATTGCACAAACTTTTTCTCTTGACAAACAGAAAAAGTTTGCCTCTGAATGGATGACATGCTTTCTGCCGGGTCCGTGAAATGGGTGCTCTTGTTGGTTTTTATCAGGAGGTATAAAGTGGATTGATAGTGATCAGAACATTGTGTTGGTTTTGAAGTATGAAAAGCAAGTGGAGGAGAGAGAACCACTTCCTTCCTTCCTGCCTGCACGGGAGATTTGCGAGGGGCTGGAAAACCCGGGTGTTGCTACTCTTAGAAATTTGATCTTTTATATTTTACAGATAGACAGCGGATAAGGAATGGTTATATTGCTTTATTAATTTCATGGAAAATGTAAAAAAAATTGGCTGGTAATTTTTCAGGGAAAGTTGTGACATCAATTTTTGTAACTTACAACTTTTTGCCGATTTAGGTTGCCAATAATTTGGCAGTAAAAATTTTTAGATATATTAAGCAACAAAAAATTTAGCACCATTTGATGAAAATTTTGTGTGAAATAATTTAAAATTTTATAAACATTTTCAACTAACTTGTGACCGATTACGTTGAGAAATTCGTATCGGAACTATTACGATTTTTGTTTATAAATTTTGTTAACAAAACAGTTCAAAAATTCTCAAATTTTGTCAGTTTATAATTCTTTCAAGAATTTGACACCAACCACATTTTTTACTAGTCACATTTTTAAGAGTGTCCTCCCGGATTTGGGACTTGTTTCAAGAAAATCTATCCGGAATTTTGCACAGCACGAGAGCGTTGGTTGAATTATTGGTCCGGGTAAAAATCTCTCCCGTGATTTGGACGTTTTGAACAACGAGACAAGATTAATGTTTGTGCTGGAAAAGCTGCCACTTTTCTCATCCTGCACCCAACCAACAAGCAGCAGCCGAGGAGGAAGAAAAGGCCTACTAACTAATCTTGCGATGCGAACTGGTGGCTCGGTTTTGTCGGAATAATAATAAAGCAAGACCCAAAATATGCTGCGGCGAGATCCACATCGTCAATAATCCAATCCACTTATCTCATCTGGCTCATATTTCATGTACCACGGGAAGCAGCCGAGTAACCTTTCTTCCATTATGAATTTTCGCATCGACTCGGCGGAAACATAAAATAAAACGAGACCAAAAACCAATATGTGACACGAGATGCATATTATTAGGAACAATATGTGTCGTGGAGTGGGACAACTTTTGAATTTTTCCAGAGAGGTTGCAAATTTGCAAAAATATAGTCATTTGAATTCTAGCTTATCGAAATTTGTAGCGTTTTAAGTTTGTTCCGTGTGATATTCTCGACAACAAAAATGTAGAAGATGATTGATCTACGTATTTATACTAAATTCAATATTGTATTTTATTTATAAACGGCAATTAAGTTTTACATTAAAAATATGCTTGAACTTCTTCAAACTGCACGTGTACCTATTTACCAACCAGATAAATAAGTTTGTAGCTGGAAACTTTCTTAACTTTGTAACTACGCATGTTACAAAAGTCTACGTGAAATGTTACCGCCTTGAGTAAAAACAACCATCGCAGTGAAAACCTATGAACTATTTTTATTACACAGACTCCTTTGTGTATTGTTTCAATGTGGGAGAAACACAGGGTCAAAAACTCAAGGAATACGTAGAAAAACAAGGACAGAGGATCTTTAATGTGGGTGAGAGGGACGTGCGTAAAGAATAATTCGGATTTATGCTCCTTCGACGTAACAAGGAAATGAAAATGCCACAAAGCAAACTAGGCATAAACAAATATAAATAATAAATAATAATAAAATTTCCGTAAAATATTCTCTAAAAAACTTTATTACCGGATTTGACAACATATTATCGGAGCATGTGCAAATACTTTGAATTTGAATTTGATCAAAATTTGAATAACTGTATAACAATTGGAAAATCGGTAGAAATTTTACAAAGACTGATTTTGCGTAATATAAGCTTTTCATGCATGAAAATCTCTCTTTTTTGTGTCTTAAGTCGCCCCACTATTTTTGATTCGCGGTGGTGGTGAGTTGGCAAGAGAGAAAGAAAGGCAATGAACAATTAACCTTGGATTTGAGAAAAGGTTAACAAGAGGTAGAAAAGAGTCGTAGTTTAGAATAGGAACAGAGCAGACTTACTGCTGAGACAGTGGTCCTAATAGTGGACAATTGGTGTAATAATTAGTGAGTTAAATTGTGACAATAAATTGGCGTTGCATTAAAGAGATCGTCATTTGTTGTGCACACATTATTTGCACCATTTCTCGGAGGAAAGCAGAAGTCTCATCCTTTCAACCGGCGAAGAGACTACACCCACCCAAACCTGAATAGGTTCGCTGCTGGTAGTGGGAGTGGCTATTTAAAATCATTGGCGCCCCCGGGTGGGGGGTAGTTAATTCATCGAGTTTTGGAAGGAGTGTTCATCCCATTGTGGCCTAGTGCAGACGGTGGGAGGAGAAGAACGACATACAAAGGACCAGGAAGTAGGAGATAAAGAGTTTGCGGTTTACTGTCGCCCTAAGGACAGTCAATCCAGGTCTCGAGATTTGAAGAGGAAATAGTGCAGCCGGGTCGTCCACTCAAATTTGGATTTTAAAAGGAGGTGAGGAGGACTCAGCCGCAACTCGGACCGCAGGACCAGAACATTTTGAAGAATCAGGCCGGTGTCGTGCTGGAAATCGACACACTAAATACATAGTGGTTAACTCCCACCGGACGGGAGTATAGCCAGGTCATATTGTTTCAATTTTGTCGTGCGTGAATAATTCCTAAAAAATGTGGGGCCTTTTTAATCAGGAAACAGTAAGAGGAGGTGGAGGGACCAGAGCCCGTAATCAAGAGGAGTTGGAGGAGGAAGAAGACGTCGTTATTCCTTCGCCACAACGATTACAAGATGCGCCGCGCTCACCACCACCACGAACGCCGAGAGTGCAACAAACCCCATTTATGCAAATGAAAATGAGAAGAAAAGTGTCGATGGAGTTATTGAATGAAGATATGGAAATCGCACGTCAAGAATTAGACAAAGCACAGCCGGACCAGGCCATTCTCACTCGGAAGCTACAGACTATTCAACAGTTGACAGAAGAAGCAGAGCACTACGCGGGTCAAGTTCTCGACCACTACGTATTACAGAATTTGGAAGATAAGTATCGACAAAGCAGAAAGAAGTGGCGAGAGATCAATGAGAGTTTAGTAGAGATGATTCTGCGGATCAAGACTGCGATTTCAACTCCCAGTCGACCGGAATCGCCCGTCGGAAGTGCAAATTCGAGTGGAGGTGAAAGAAGAGTGAAGCTGCCCAAATGCAATTTACAGAAGTTCGACGGGAAGATGAGAAGCTGGCTCGGGTGGTGGGCACACTATGAGTTAATTCATAAGGACCAGTCATTATCAATTCCCGACAAATTCCGATACCTCGTCGAGTCCATGGAAAGTGGAACGGAAGCAGCAGAAATCGTAGGAAGTTTCCCAAAGACCCCTCAAAATTACCAGAAAGCCGTCGACATGTTAACACAGAAGTATGGAAAGAAGGAGATGCTGGTTGCAATGTACATGACAGATTTGGCCGAGCTACTATTCAGTAAGGAGAAGAGTTCGATTTCGAAATTCTTCATGGCTCTCCAAACTCAACTGCAGAATTTGGAGTCACTTGGTGTGAAGTCGGAAGAGTCGTCGCCATATCTACTCCCCATGATCGTGAAGAGTTTGCCGAAGGAGACGCTCGCCACGTGGTTTCGTTCTCATTTCTCAAAGGTGGAGGGGTCAACTCTCGTCCCCCCGAAGTCAAAATTGGAATGTTTATTGGATTTTTTGAGAGATGAGATGGAGAGCGAATGGAAGATTGAGATGACGAGCGGGGAGAAAGAGAAGAAGAAAGTTGGGCAACGACAATCTCCGAAGAAGTCAGGCCACGAAGAAGAGATCGCAACTGCAGCAGGGCTCGTGTCAATTACAAGTCAGAGGTCGAGTCAATGTATATTTTGTGGAAAGAGTCACGCCAGCAATTTATGTTATGCGGCTCAGAAGATGAGTTATAAGGAAAAGGAGGGAAGAATACGTGAGAAGAGAGGGTGCTTCACATGCTTCAGATTTGGACATCGAGCGGCCGCGTGCAAAGCAAAGATAGAATGCGGAATTTGTAGAAGACGTCATCATAGTATCATGTGCTATGAGCATCCTTCAAACAGAAATATGGAAGTAAATAGAGCAATGAAGGATGAGAAAAGTCAGGAAGGATTTGGAGGACTACAAACTGAGACATCAAGCGCCATGGCGAGTCAAGAGTGTTCGGGTGCAGTACTCTCAAGAACTTTGTTAGTCAGATTATAAGATAACCGTGGCGGATACAGAGTAGCAAGGTTGCTCTTCGACGGAGGAGCGCATCGCACGGTTGTAAGAGAAGATACAGTCAGAGCGTTGGGGTTGAAAGCGGTTGGAACATTCACACAAGCAAAGATGATTTATAGAGGAGGAGTAACGGAACGAATGCTTCACCACAACTACCAACTGAAAATCGGAGATTTGAATGGAAGCCACACTCAAACCCTCGTGGCGCATGATGAGGAAGGTATCGTGGGATTTATTCCGCGAATACCACGAGGGGAATGGATAAAGGAACTCGCACGGAAAAAGGTGTCAGTTACAGACTTCAACTCAGAAAATCCAGAAATAGAAATATTGGTCGGGAACGATTATGAGGGTATGCTAATGACCGGCCGAATTGAATCGCTTGAGTGTGGAGTAACTGCAATACAGTACGTGTGGGGGTGGGCGTTATCAGGAAAGAGACCAGAAGGGGTAAATACCGCAGCAGTTTCACTTTCTCTTCTCTCATGTCAAGAGTCAGTCACTCCGCAACGGAGCCGGAAGAGTTTGGATATTGCAACTCCGGCGGAAGTGAAGAGCAAAACTGAGAGAAAAGTGGACACGTCAAAGAGGTTTCGAGAAACTGTGATGCAGAATAAAGAGAGGCGGTATTCGGTTCGACTTCCTCGGAGAGTTGAGAACCCCAACGGAACAATTGAAGAGAAAGAAGTAGCCAAGAAGGTGACGAAATCGTTAGGTGTAGAGAAGCTCGTCACATTGGTCGACACGGTGGGAGAATTGGCTGGAAATTTGGAAGATTTGAGAGAAAAGGCAACCCGAATTCTCGCCTCAGGAAAGATGGAGCTCCGTCAATGGGAGTGTGGTGAGTGCCAACCTGGACCTGGCAGCGACCACACTGCTCATTCGGCGACGAGCGTCCTCGAGAAGGAGCGAGATAAGGTGGAGGACTGCCTATTTGCCAATATACCGAAGAGAGAACGACCGGAAGACATGACGAGAAGAACATTTGTGGGAAATCAAGGAAAGGAAATTTGCAAGTTGTCGTCCCCAAATGAGCAGTCACATGTCCCAGAAGTGATCAACCCAGCGGACCTTCCATCAACGGGTTGCTCCCCGCAGAGATTCGTAGACCGTAGTTGGTGGGAGGGGCCAGCATGGTGGTCAAAAACCGAAGGAAAATTGGCCAAGAAGAAAAGAAGATGCAGAGGACGAGAAAGTGATCAAGATCCCGAGACAACAACAACAAGATCCAGGAGCGATTAAACCGATTACGACAGATCAAATTGAGTCAGGACGGACAGTAAAGAAGCCGAGTATATTTATGAAATGAATTTTATGATTTTTTATTTGTCAAAATTGGGTTTTAATTGAAATTTAGGTTTGTTCTTTTGTTCGTTGCCCTCACAAAAGAGGTGGGAGGACTGACTAACATATTATCGGAGCATGTGCAAATACTTTGAATTTGAATTTGATCAAAATTTGAATAACTGTATAACAATTGGAAAATCGGTAGAAATTTTACAAAGACTGATATGACATATTTATTATAAAATCGGTCCGACCATACCGTCCAGTAGCAGATGGTACTATTGCATTGCTTACTTATTTACAGTTAACAGTGTTGACTTGATGTGAAGGGTCAAATTCTTTACGAAGGGTCCCCTCGAGTCAAAGAGGAGGAAATCTAATGTGCTTTTAAGAGCTTGAAACAATGGGAAAAAGGTCTCAATGAAAACTTTGTTGTCTTTTACAACCCTCCGTCCAATTCATTTCGGGGCGAAACTTTCCAGAAAAAGTGACAGATTTCCGGGTTGGGCTGCTTTTATTACGGTTAATGACACGAGAAAGAGGGCCAACTTTTGGGGAGTAGGTCATAACCCGTTGTGTTTTTAACGGATACGTTGAATATGTAATATTGATGAACTATAAATAAATTTATCGAGTTTACTGCGTTACAAAGATATGAGTGAATGATTTTGTTTTGATTAATCCTTGGAACGTGTAGAAATCAATATTTGTCATCTTTACTAGTATATCAAAATTCTAAAAATTTCTTTAATGCCGGTCAACTTAAGACAAAATATATATTTCTTGAAGATTTTTTCCAACCAAGGAAACTCTCATAACTGTGGTATACTTCCTTAAAATGTTTGTAAACTAATTATGAATAGAATTTCTTAGTAAATTTTTGTTAAATAAAAAATTGCTTTATAACTTTACGGTGCAAAAGTGAGAAAGTTACGAATTGTAACCTCTTCGTAATCTTTGCAAACTTGTGTAAACTTTATAAATATCTAGGTAGTTTAGTATTTTATGGAACCTTATTGCGTAAACGTCAACATGAAAAATAATTCTGCCCTGTAAATAAATAATTTAAAGAACTATATGCGAGACCTTCAGGCCATTCGAAGTTATTTATAAGTTGTGAGTAATAATTATGAACACAGATCTGATGAAGATAAAGTATCCTCCATCCACGCAAGATTCAACTTTTACCGAAATTGAGAATTCTGAGAATTCTGAGAATTCTCAAATTTTCCTCTCAGAATAAGCTAAAATTCTTTTGGGACCGACAGTGGTGTAGTAGTTTCTCAGAATTCTCAATTTCTGTAAAAGTTCAATCCTGCGTGGATGAAGAGTAGGTTATATTATTGTCCATTCATTTTAGTAAACGCAAAACTTGGAAATATCTAGATTGCAAGCAACCGTGTGAACTATTTCAATATCTCTGATTCATGAGGTCAGTAGTGTGTACAAAAATCATTAGCAAAATAAATAGGACTTGCCATAGCAAAAGTTATGATTTTCTAATAAAATTGCGGAAACTAAGCCCGGACAAAACCTGCCTGTCCTCACTTTCACTTTCCCGACTCGGTCACGGTCCAACTGACCGGATTGAATTGACTAGGGCGAATTAATAGCCGAGAGAAAGCCTCGCTTTCTGCTCTCATCCGAAAGTGACATGATGAAGACGAGGGAGAAGAAATCACAAAAGTTTGCACTAAATTGCACGACTAATGTTGTCCAAAGAACGGAGAGGACTTTCTCCTGGTTAAGAACTTTAAGTGTAAAACTTTCCTGTCGTGTTTTTTACTTGTGTTTTATTGGAGAAAGTCTCCTCTTTGTGGAGAGGGAAGAAAGGTCCGGGAGAGAATTCGAAAGTGTGTAAAACTCTTAAAAATATGAGTATACGATTTTTAGGCCTTTTAAGATGGCCTTATAGACTTACCAAGATGTCTGTCTGTCCGTCCGTCTGTGCGTCCGTCTGTGCGCACGATAACTCTCTTTAAACACATGCTATCGACTTGAAATTTTGCACACTTGATCTTCGGGTTAAAAGTAATGATGAGTTCGGAGATGGGCATGATCGGCCAAGTAGTTGGCCAGTGGGGGTCTTTTCCACCCAAATGTGTTGCCATTAACTACCAAGATGGTATTAATGCCATCTTAAAAGGCCCCGCAAAGTTGCTTGGAGTAGGTTTTTTAGAAAGGTTTGAGTGTGCAGATGGAAATAATTTTTGGCACTAAATCTGGTAAAAAAGCTACCATCCAAATCAAGAATTGAAGCATTTTTAGCCGAAGTCTAACGTAATTAAATATATTACATTACGAAAAAGAATCTTAAGTTATGATTCCTAACAAAGTAGTAACAAAATTTGGTGTAATCAGTGACAAAAATTGTCAAAAGATTTCTAATATTGTAAGAAACCATGAAGCAATTTGTTATAATAAATTATGAAAATTTCAGTTATAAAATTTTCACCAAAGTTGGCCAGACTTACGGATCTTCATTTGTAAATTTGTTATATCCTTTTACTCATGTAGCTCAGAGTGTTACTAATTTTGACAATTTTCAAAAATATATAACCCAATGGTAACGAACAACGACCAACCATTTAGTTGCAAAAGATGAACATCTCTCCAAGTATTTCAGAATTTTTAAGAGTGTCCAACAATCCGACACGATCTCACTCCTAAGTTTGACGAGTGGACGAATGCGAAGGTGGAGAGATGGAGGAAGGAGAAGACTGCAAGTTGCGAATGTGGTCCGATCGACAAAAAATGTCCACTTCTTCCTTTCCTTCTCTGCTTTCACTCAGGAAAAAAAGAAACTTTGTTTCCATTCTGATCCTGGATCTTTTTGATGTCCAGTAAAAACAAGGAAGGGTTTCTCCTCAATTCGGAATGGATGCACAAAATTGGAAAAACTATCACCCACTTTCTTCCACTCCATGAATTTTTTTAATGCAAATGAGAGGAAATAAATCAGAAATGTTACGTAATCGTTCGATTACGGTTTCGTTCGATTACGGTTTCGTTCGTTATTTTTACTAAATAATTAAAAAAATGAGACCTGCAAAAAATATGGGAAAGAACAAATGCATTTCCATAACATAGATGCCAGAAGCGTAATTTCCAGAAATTTGAGAATTTATTTCATTAAAGATTGGCAATTGTTAACTAGAGTATGTTATATACAAATTAGGAATTTGGCAAAGGCTTTTGTGCAAGTAGTTGGTAAAAGCGTACTGTTCAGCCTATATTAATAGTCTCAATTCCTTAGAAATTTATCTGAGAGGTTATTTTGTTTTTGGAAAATAATTAAAATTATCTGCCCGGAAACCGTTCAGATTTTTTTCAGACTACTAATATTGACTGAACTGTAGGTAAGAAACCCTGTAAAACTTGTTTGGTGGGGGAGCACTTGATTCAGTTCTGGTCGAGAAAATATTGGAATGACGAGGACATTTCGCTTGATCATTCGTTTCTCTCATTTTTGCAGAAATACTTTCACTTTCACTGTAGAAAGAGTGAATTCCCTCATTTTTCGTTCACAATTTAACTTCGAGTATGTTATGTGGTGAAGAATTTTATGTATTTTGTCTCAACTTGACCGGCATTAAAGAAATTTTTGGAATTTTGATATACTAATAAGGATTATAGATATTGAATTCGACACGATCCAAGGATTAATAAACCGTAGTAACGTTAGAAGTAGCTCA